GGGGGGGGAAGAGCGGACCCCAAAGTTCAAGCGGAGCCCCTCCTCTCCCCTCCGCGCTGGGAACAGGACGCCGCGCATCAACGCGCAGGCGCCATCTGCCTGGCTGAAGAAAGAGGACTCCGATTGGTCGCTCGGGGGAGCACGGCGATTGGCAGGGGGCCTCGTTGGGGCGGGCCCTACTCCAGAAGAACAGGCGGATATTCTTGGAGAAGGACGCGTAAAGAAGTCCCGCCTCCACTTCCGGAAACAAAGCGGGCAACGAGCTAGCTTCCGGAATCGGCGAGAGAGGAGCCGGGCTGCAGGTTTGGCGCAGGGGATGCTGGGAGACTGTCAAAGATGGTCTCTGAGGGAGGGAGGGAGGGAGGGAGGCGGAGGCTTCGGCCTTCCTCCCCGGGGAGCGTGTGGGGCCCCTCGGGGAAGGGACGGAGCCGTGACCCGCCTCTCCTTTGCTCCTGCAGGAGGACGGGCGAGCCCTGCGGAGGAAAGGGGCGCTCCCCGGGAGGAGACGGCGGGGGAGGCCCGGCAGGGATGAGCCGAAGGGGACTCCGGGAAAGGAGGCCGCCCGGAGGGAGAAGCGGGGAGCAGGAAACGGGCGGAGACCCCGAGACGGGCCTGGAGGGCGGAGGGTCCTTCAGAAGAGGCGGAAGACTCAGGAATCCCCAGAGAATCCAGGAGGGAGGAGAGAAATATCAGTGCCCGGAATGTGGAAAATCCTTCAGAAGAAATGGACATCTTGAAATCCATCAAAGGATCCACACAGGAGAGAAACCATTTAAATGCCTGGAGTGTGGAAAGAACTTCAGTCAGAGCAGCAGCCTTTATCAACATCAAAGGATCCACACAGGAGAAAAGCCATATAAATGCCTGGAGTGTGGAAAGAGCTTCAGTCGGAGCAGCAGCCTTTATCAACATCAAAGGATCCACTCAAGAGAAAAACCACATAAATGCCTGGAGTGTGGAAAGAGCTTCACTCAGAGCGAAAGCCTTTATAAACATCAAAGGATCCACTCAGGAGAAAAACCGTATAAATGCCTGGAGTGTGGAAACAGCTTCAATCACAGGGGACACCTTCACACACATCAAAGGATCCACTCAGGAAAAAAACCGTATAAATGCCTGGAGTGTGGAAAGAGCTTCACTCATAGCAGCAGCCTTTATAAACATCAAACGATCCACTCAGGAGAAAAACCACATAAATGCCTAGAGTGTGGAAAGAGCTTCAGTCAGAGGGGACACCTTTATAGACATCAAAGGATCCACTCAGGAGAAAAACTGTATAAATGCCTAGAGTGTGGAAAGAGCTTCAGTCAGAGGGGACACCTTTATAGACATCAAAGGAACCACTCAGGAGAAAAACCACATAAATGCCTGGAGTGTGGAAAGAGCTTCACTCAGAGCAGTAGCCTTTACCGACATCAAAAGATCCATTTAGGAAAGAGAGAGCATAAATGCCTGGAGTGTGGAAAGAGCTTCACTTTGAGCAGCACCCTTTATATACATCAAAGGATCCATTCAGGAGAGAAACCATTTAAATGCCTGGAATGTGGAAAGAGCTTTACTGTGAGTGGACAGCTCCGCAGACATCAAAGGATCCATACTGGAGAAAAACCACATAAATGCCTGCATTGTGGAAAGAGCTTCACTCAGAGCAGTAGCCTTTACCTACATCAAAAGATCCATTTAGGAAAGAGAGCATAAATGCCTGGAGTGTGGAAAGAGCTTCACTTTGAGCAGCAGCCTTTATATACATCAAAGGATCCACTCAGGAGAGAAACCATTTAAATGTCTGGAATGTGGAAAGAGGTTCAGTCTGAGGGGAAACATTTATATACATCAAAGGATCCACTCAGGAGAGAAACCATTTAAATGTCTGGAATGTGGAAAGAGCTTCAGTCTGAGGGGAAACCTTTATAAACATCAAAGGATCCACACAGGAGAGAAACTACATAAATGCCCTGAGTGTGGAAAGAGCTTCAGTAAGAGGGAACGCCTTTATGCACATCAAAGGATCCACACAGGACAAAAACCATAAGAATGCCTGAAATGTGGAAAGTGCTTCAGTCGAAAGGGACACCTTTATACCCATCAAAGGATCCACACTGGAGAAAAACCACAGAAATGTCTGGAGTGTGGAAAGAGTTTCTGTGAGAAGGGAAGGCTTTCTAAGCGTCAAAGAATCCATTCAGGAGAAAAACCATATAAATGCCTTGAGTGTGGAAAGAGCTTTTCCGACGGTGTACACCTCAGGGCTGTGGTGTCGGAGTCAGAGTCGAGGAGTCGGAGTCGGAGGAAATTTTGGGTACCTGGAGTCGGAGTCGGCAAACAATGCTCCGACTCCTACTAAATTTAGATTGGAATTAAAAAAAAAGCAAGTTTAAATGTCCCAATTCACAAAAAGTTATAATTAATGACTACTGTAAGAATAAAGACCAATGCATGCAGTGCCTCACGGAACCACAAAACGAACACGTTAAGTGACCGTGAAGAGGCATGCTTTTCATGTGCTTCACTATATGGCACGCAACGCACAATTAGGAGCGGCAATACTTATACTTTCCATAGTGTTGTGTTCAGCTGTTACAGGGAACGCAGCGCCCATGGGTAACCTAGCCTCTCACTGATAAGGGATTAAGTAAATATGTTTTTTGCAGGACTAGAGACACTTGTATAAGTGAAGGGAATGGAGGGTCAATAGTTCAAGACTGAAGCTGTAAACCATTGGAAAAACTGCTGTCATTCAGCTAAGGCTATAAAAACTTGTAAACTCCGATT